TGTTGCTGCGTGCAGCCACATCAACTGAACACACTTCGGTCGAGTCGTTGCGGCTGCACGTAGCAACACACGCCACTGTATTATACAGTATGCGTCGTCGATATGCTCGGATATATCCGTGCCTTACGAAATGCTGAGATGCTCAGCGATCTTAAAACACATGTTTGGTTAAAACTTGTGTGTATTTGTTTTTTGAGTTTAGTTTTCAGTTTTATAAACTATTTTGAATTTTATTTTATTTTTAACGTAGAGGATTCAAGAAAAAAAAACTCTTTCTTCAACAGAGATGCACCTCTCTGTTCTTTCATCGATCCGACGATCATATTTAAAAAAAATTCCAATTTGAAATTTCTAGGCAACAACCACCTCCAATGAAGTCATGTTTGTCGTGCCATCAGCAGATCCATCGAAATGCACCAATTTGTCCGTTGTGCAAAGCAAAGAGTCGATCACGTAATCCAAAAAAGCCGAAGAAGAAAGACCATTAAAATGATAAGCGTATTTGTTTGTGTCAAAGGGGGAAACAGGCTTTTCCCATTTTCGAATCGCACAAAGTTTTAAGTCATTATGTGTCATGTTTTTTCTTCTCCTTTTTTATATACATAATACCTAATTTAACAATAATTCGAAATGGCCAAGGGAATTGCGCCAAAAAAGATTCTGTTGGTTTGATTACAACGATTTTCTTCGGCTCAATTTCATTTTTACACTTCTAGACTAGAAAAAAAAACTATCTAAGTTAGAAAAATTCATTCATTTTTCAAACACACAAAAAAAAAACAAAATTTACTTGAGTTTCTCGTCATCGAGAAGCAAAAGGTATACAATTAAGTTGAATAAATAAATGATTTAAATAATCATAGAGTTGTAAGTGATGATGTATGGTAACGAAAACACCCTGAAGCAGCTCATTTTAAGCGCTTCGCTTGTGCCACGTGAGGTAGATACAACGGTCCGCACATAATCCCAAAATGCAGGTGTACACATACTATGTTTTAAATAGCGAAAATGCTAATATCATAAAACACACACACACACCGAACTGTAAGAACTAAAAGCAAAGACTTCTTTGTATTATATTTATATGAATACATATAATAACTTAGTCTTAGCCAATAAGATTTTACAAACTGTGGAAAGTTTCCTCTTCTTTTTTTTCGTTCTTTTGTAGACTGATATTTTTTGTAGCCATAAAACCAGATTAAGAATAAAGAAAAAACAAAGCAAAGAAACAAATTGCCAGAAAAAAACACACACATCAAGACCTTGTATCATAATTTGCTTATGTTTTATTATATTCTCAAAGCATATTTCCAATGACCAATAGCCACCATCATTTTTTTTTTGTTTTCATCAAGAACTGAGCGTTGCACTTTAAAGCCTCAGTCGCACATTCGCTGACTGATTCAGGAAAAATTTTCTGCAAAGCATCATAACCTTTTTATTTGTCACATCTCTAGATTTTTTTGTTGTCTCTTTTAACTTGTGATTTTTATATATCAACATCATCAAACGTAATCGACTACAAAATAAATTGATTGCAAATGCTGCTTTACACAATTTTACATATAGATTTGATTAATTTTTTTTTTCAACAATTTCTCGTAGCGCTCTAACCGTACCATCGATTTTACATCGAATTTCCAAAACCGAGATCAGAAAACCGTTTTGAAATGATTTTCTGGTTCATTTCTATTCAAGACTGAAATATCAACATTCTCGATCTTTTAATATATCATTTTCTCAATATTTTTACGCAATTTCGTTTTTCAAATTCAGTGCCATTTTTCTTTGGGAGAAATCAAAAACAAATATCAAGTTTTTGTTATTCGTTTTTTTTTCTTTTCAAAAGTAAAATAATTTTTTCGGAGGGAATGTTGTGTTTGTTGGAAATTAATTCAAAATATTCGTTTTCATTTTAAAAGAAATTGCCTTCATGTAAATGGTGTGCGAAAATCGCATTTTTTCACAATTCAAATATTGCTTCGAAAATATTTGGTTTTCCTTTGGATATTTCTCACGATCTGGGTAATATTTTCCAAAATTGATATTTTTTTCTTGATGGTTTGTTTTTTACTTCTGAAATCCTCCCAAAAACTATTCGACTTCAATTTTTATCTCCAACATTCGAACTTTGCATTCTAACTCTGTCTGTCCTTTCCGCTATTTGAGATCTTTACATTCATCGACATTTTAAGACATTGTTGCTCTTTTCTTTAAAAGTCCTTTTTCGACTCCTTCCATCATCGTCTCCATTTCGAATCACCTCTGTCCAAAATCCCATCGGTTTAAAAATCGAACGCAAAATCAATACGGAATTTTGTATACTGTATCGTTCCGTTTTTTATAAATTTATTATTTAAAAATGGCTATATGTTCGTAATCTGTGAGGTGTTTCATTTTTTTTAAATTTTCCTCCGTATAAATTGCATAAACTAGTATAGTTTCACTATTTTTCTTCCATCTGATTTTTAAACACTGACTCTAATAAGTCGTTTTTGTACTTGTTGTTGTTCTCATTGTGTTGTTCACCATGATATTTAAAAACTAAAGCGATTTGTTCACTAGTAACACCGGAACAACGAAATGAAGCAACCATCGTATTGGAGTCTTTGGAACAATTTAAACCAGAATTGTTTGGCCTACGAACTTGCACGTAGGTGTATTGAAGCTATGTTTTTGTGTGATTAAATTCTCTATACAATAGACTTTTTCAAACGCGAACAAACAAATAAAAATATACATTTAGAGCAAACGTGTGCAGCTGTTAAATTGATTGGATTGAAGCATTTTTTACAATTGGAATGCTATGATCTGTGAGGTTTTTGTTGGGCTCGATACAAAAATAGATTTAAATTTTAAGCACTTTTATCATTCGTTTTGAAGCTTAGAAAAAAGAAAAAAAAAACTGAGAGAAGAATTCTGTTGTTTTTTTGTTTTTGTCACTGTTCGAAGCGTTGAAAACCATTGAAACATGAATTAGATTGGCTTTGCTGGTTTCAATAGATTCACAATTGCATTTTGCGTGTGGCACTTCTATTCTGAAAATGTCCCAATCGGTTGAGAGTACTCATTTTTTGGTTGCAAACAAGACGATCCTTGGTGCAAAATGGGAATTTTTCAATTGTTCACTAGATTTGTTTTCAGCATGGAAACTGTTGAAAAAAAATATTTGCAATGATAGTTTTTGTTGCTGATTTTTCTTTTTAAATTTAGTAAACGTGTTATTGCATTCGAACAGCGGTAACTTTTAATACTTTTTGCTAACTAGAATTTTATTCATCACTTAAGATACAGTGGTCGTCGTCGGTGTGGCCGATGCACTCGATTGCCGGATGATGACCACTATCCCACATGCCAGGGCCACAACGTCGACAGAGATTCGATAAAGTACATGGGATTTTCGGTAGTTGCCGGAATTGATAGAGTAAGCCTCGCGCCTTTCGCAGGATCAATTGGCCATCCATGTACATTGCTGTGGGAAGAAACGAATTTCACGGTGAAAAGGTGTGGTTTTCAATCAAAGTAAATGTAAATTCAAATGATTTTTTTTCTATCAACATTCAAGTGTCGATTTTACGACCAAAAATTAATTAATGAAGTTATGTTTGAACGATGTAAAAAAAAATACCCAAAATCTGAATTATTCGATTCTTCAAAAAGAAACTGAACTTGTATGGAAGCTCATGAAAAAATGCACATGCCAGTCTGGCATTGCCAGACATACCTAAGGAGCTAAAATGTAGAAGCATTTCGTCGGTGCGAAGATCTTGTGCCACCACATCATCAGCATAAACGGCTATTATCGCTAAGCATAAGAATAAGTGAAAATAATCTGTAAGATAATTTGACCAGCACGCCTCCCACATTCGGATAGCCACCGCCTCGGTAAATTCCCGTTTGAAACAGCTGCAAGAAATTCAATAAAATTTAGATACAATGCTGGAAAATTGTTAGTCAAAAATCATATTTAATTGACATATGATGAAAAGCACTCAATTATAAAGCGTTAATTTCGAGAAAAAAGTTTAAGCTTATTTAAAAATAACGTTAAGAAAAAAGTCACTCACAGCAATATCCAGCGATGACAGAACAAAAGCTCTTTTGAATCCGAATATTTCTCGAGATGTGTATGAAATTTAGGTACCATTATTCGTATTAGCTCACGTAAGTAACTCTGAAAATAAGTATGGGAATTTTTTTTTATTGAAAGTGTGGTTCGTCCTTAATTTCACAAATCTTTGTTTTAAATTCAATGAAATATATTGTTTAAAAATAGAAAAAAAAATGCTCACGAGATTTTTGTCGATGTCATTATCCGTGGGGGTGCATACGAAGAACGCTCGTTGCATCAGTCCGACAAAACACCAAAATGTTTCCGATTCATTCTTTATTTCGCACAAAACTGGAGCAAGTAAATCACTCATGCCTTGAGTGTATCTGGAGAATTCAAAGTGTGTCATTTTTAGAAAAGATGAAAAAAAGGACAAGGATGAAAACGGGTATCACTCAATGATCGCCATTGTCATCTCACGGAAAAACTACTTACGAAGTGCCTGAATTGTAATATGCATAATTTAATAAGATGTTTTTCATGCTTTCTATGTTTGGGTTGTCATCTCCGGCAAAATATGGATTACTTCGATCGGTTCGTACAACGTCTTTTTCGATGATACACTGAACACTGCGCCAAAATTGGGCTTGTTCTTCTGGCGACATCGAGTATAGGCGACGACGAGTCAGTTCTTCATATTCCTGTCGAAAATGAGAAAGTTTGTCTCGTAAGAATGTTAAGCGCTTAACTTGATTTTTTATATTTTAATCGCAACAAACTGAGCGAATGTAAATAGGGTTGTGAACAATTTGAGGAACAAAACCAGAAAATAATAGTAAAAAGCATGAACAAAAAGAAATCAAAGTAGATTTCAGAAGTCAAGGCAGAAAAAAAGGGATAAATGTTGATTTTTCAATCAGAGAATAAAATCTTAAAACAAAGTGCCACCAACCTGTTTCCGAATATCCATAAGAAGAGCGCGATCTTCGAAGGTCGAATTGAAAGAATAGCAATGCAATAAAAATGGCCAAACGGTTTTTCGTAAGCTTTTCTCGAGTCCACCGAAGAATACACATTTTCGCAACAGTAGATCATCTTCGATTTGTCCCTTTTCATTGAGGAGTGTTCCATAAAAATAGTCCGTGGTGATTTTGTTGACTTTTCCTTCATCGGGATGCAATTCCGATTTTTTAACTTCAGGACGGCAAACCATAAACTGTCTGTAGGGTAAATTGTGTTCGTCGTGTCCGAAAACACCCGGAGCCAATTTGATATTGTGCAATAGACAGTGCCATTGATGTAACACTTGAGCCAAATGATCGAGCCCACCGTGGTGAAAGTGTAAAATTTTGTACTGTGATTCGCGTGATGCGATCACCAATTGGCCCGATGTGCAATTTTCATCGTTGAAAAATAGGCGCAGCGATCGCATTTGGCTCAAATCGACAGAGAAGCGTCGACACTTCATTGGCACATTTCGGGTGAGCACTGGTGACGATGTCACACTGTCGGGAAATGCTAAATTGTGTTTGTAGGCAAGCAGTTCTGGTGTCATCCAATTCGATGTTGTCTCCTCCACCGAGCAAATCGATTGCGTTCGCATCAACTTCACATTTGGTTCGAGCAGCATTTCCTCTGGCGATAAGTCTTGATTCTGAATTTGTGGATTGGCTATCGTAATATTAACGGATGTCAAGAGTAGCTGATTCTTCGGCTGAACCAGCTGTTTCACATTTTGTCTGGCCGCATTGATGACGACAATGGCCTTATTATCGCCATCAGTTTCAATCAATGGTTCCAGTTCACGTTTCAATTCCTTCTCTTCTTCCGTTTCTTCAACATTTGGCATGGATTTTTTCAAATCCTCCGTGGTAAACACACAATCATCATGATGTGTGTCCGTATCACCACCGTACGTGCTATGTACACCACTGCTGCTGGCGCGATCCGAATTCGAGCTCACGCTGATTGTGTCCATATTTTCAGCGCCCAGTTTTTCACTTTCATACAAATACGGATCCAAAAATGGGTTTGTACTACTGATGATCGGCAACGTTGTTGGTACTGTTTCCAGACACGTTTGTGAACTATGGTTTTTGCTGTTCCAGTCCGAGATTTGATTATAGAGTTTGTGCTGTTTCAATTCATCGGTGTACGAATGTATGCTATCCATTGTCATATTGGTGGCGCCATTGCTCAGCATCGATGGCGGTGGTAGTCCGTTGTTTTCGACGGTCGATGGGCATTTTCGCAGTGTAGCATTCGGTATCCAGGTGAGCAAAAGTGTCGGCCGTTTTGCATTGTTGTACTGATCGGTAAAGGTTTTCGTTGTCACTGTCAAATAGCCTGGATAATGTAAAATATCGGACTCTTGACGAACGAGCGCAGGCGGATGGACGCACACATTATTTTTACAAAAAAGCACCTCATTATCCTCGAAAATGCTATCGGCTTTGTCTTGCAGCTCCTCCGATCCGAGAATATAATTGGATGCACGTTTGATTATATTCACAATTGGCATGATTGGCTCCGTTTTTCTTCCTCTTTTATGTGGTAGCGCCCGTCGATAAATTTATCAGTGGGGAGAAAATAAAGCACTAAACCAAATGATTCGATTCGATTCCACACACATACACTTTGTTTCCCTAACACTCTGTTTCTGTCTCTTTTTCGAAGTGCTTGTCGATATTCGATTATTGACGATGCAATGTTGATTTGTGTCCTTTTTTCCTTGCCTTTCATCAAATTCAGCCCTTCGTCAATCTAAAACACTAATTTTCGTCTTTCGATATTTTTTGTTTGTCATTTGCCTAGGTGCTTTTTCCTACCCTGTCACGGAATCTGTCACTCGTACGATGTATGAATTTTCAGTTGTACACTGTTCGACTTTGACTGTGTGTTGATTTGTATGTCAATCCGACACTCACACGCGTCGTCGCCTGTCTCGTTCATGCATCACCAGATGTTGTCTATACAAAGGTTGAATTCAGCATAATCAATTAGTCGCTTGTACTTTGCACCAATCAAAACAAAGGCCTCGTCTATTGAACAAAAATAATTTCCGAAAAACCAAATTGAGAAACTAACGAAATCGAATTTTAATCAAGTTTCGCTTTTTTTGTGCTGTCTGGGCTTTTTTGGTGTCAATGGTGTTGTGTGTATCATTTGATTGTAACCGTGGTGGCCTCAGACATACACCGAATGTTGGAGAAATTTCTTTGGTATTTGCAAATACGTGCGCACACATGACGACACATACATAGAGATCCATTTAGCCACAAGTGACAGAATGCAATGTTATTGTTGTATTTATCACTGGTTCAGACGCATGCGCATTCTACAGTGCACAATTACATAAGCTACATACCATATTATACAACAAAGTTCTTTTTTTCTTCCAAGAAACAAACGAAAAGCGAACAAAAAAGACAATTCAAATTTAACGTTACGTTATAAGTCCTTGTACTGCTCAATAGGCGCGCGCTCTATATTCAAATGCAATGGTTTGCCTTTTGACAAAAAGCTTCATTTTTTTTGCTCCGTTTTTTTTTTTTGCTTCATTTACTTTTATTACTTTTGCCGACATTTGTTTCTATTTTGAATTCTTTTGCTTGGGTTTATTTTTGGAAAGTTCCTCATTCATTTCGTTCAGAGCCAAATATTCAAAGTGAGAAAAGTGGTGAATAACAATGCGATAAACCGCGCGCGAGCAATATTAGCTAGAGAGAAGGCGCTCGTATGCTTACCCGCGTCCCAACAACAGCACCACAAAGTGCACACAACACAAAAGGGAAATAATAATCAGCATCATAAAAGGCGAGATCAGAATGAAACATTTTAGCATAAGAATCAAGAGACAAAAAGAGAATTGAGAACACACAGAAATCCATACACACAGAGTAGACGGAGAGCACGGTTCGTAAAACCGAAGCAATTCGCGAAATGCAAAAAAGAAATACATACACAACAAAAAATGTTGAAAAAGAATGAAAAATACCAATTACAATTTATATCGGCTTTTGTTATTGTATCGCATGCATTTTCCAAAGAAGAACACACATCAGCGCGACTCTTTTTTTTCCTTCTCCTTTTCAACATAAATGCGAATGTGTATAAATGCACCAATCTGAAAAGAGACGAAGACGCGCGCGCGTTTGCTTTGCACAACATAAAAATAACAACGAAACAGCAACAATAACTTAAAATCACAACAAAAATAAAAATAAGACTATGTCGTTGATGCGCGCGACCCAGCCTTTGAAAAGCCAAACAAACGACTGCAAATGACGATCATCGAATTGAAAAAAAAAACTAAGAGAGAAAAAAATGAAGATCACATCGCCAATTATAACGAGTGGCGATACGCATTGGACCCCGAACGAAAGAAGGAAGAGGTGAACGTTTGTTGAATGCTCGGATTGTAATGTGTGTTTGATGACGATCTATCTGGCCGCCGCACAGAATTGAAAGGTAAAACCGACCAAAGCGCAAGCGTTCAACTAAAAAAGACACCACGTCAACACCACGAGAGAACATGAAGAGAAGCAAGCGATCGAGCGAGCAAAGAAAAAAAAAACACACACACACACACAACACGTCGAGACATCAAGAGAAGAGGAAAACGAAAAAGGAATATATAGATGAAATGAAACCATTCGATCGCGTTCGCGGGTTTGGTTTTCTTTTCTCTTTCGCTTGTGTTCTTGTCCAATCGATCTCGATCGGGTTGGAGAGGAACAAAAGAACATTCTTCTTCGATTTTGGTTTGAAATCAATTATATTCTTCACATGATTACAGTTAGTTGGTTTCCTCTGTCAGCGTGCTCATGCGCGCGCGCCCGGCTCATTCTCAACTTCTCACCGCCCGGTCCAACAGCAGCAGAAGCAGCAGCAACCTCTTGCTCGCGCGCTGCTCTGCATTGGTCTGTTGATGTGAACGACGGTTATTCCGTGGCATTCGTCTTGTGCACGAAGAAAAGACACCATCTCCACTCTCTCTGTGCGCAGATGGAAACGTGTGGCTTATCAAATGACAAACATGTAAAAAAGAACAGATTCTCTCTCAACTCATTTTTACATAACTCATTTGTAATTGATACGAGCACAGTAGAAGAGCAAGGCTTCGGCGAAACATAAAAACAAAAGGAAAAAGAAAACGTATCGCCGGTGAAGTGTTTTTTATTTCTTGAAATTTTCATTGTGTTTTGTGTGTGCCGTGTTTGTGTGTGATTTATAATCGGAAGAAAAATGGCCCGTGTTATCGGTTTGGGTCGACGAATAGTCACATTGATATTTGTGATTTTATTGATCAATGGCATCGATGGTTCGACCGCATCAAACCAAAATCAAGTGATCGAAAATCTTAAGCTCTTATCACAGATGGACGACAACAGCAGCTTGCAGCCACCGTCTCGTTTACGTGCATTTCTTGTGAACGATTTGCGAAATATCCTCGTCAAAAATGTATGTACGCAATTTGTGTGTCTGGACATATGATTTATTGCGTTGTTGCGCCGTTTTTCGTTTTCTTTTGTTTCAATTTTACATGATCGGTTCTTCGAATTTTTCATGATCTTCTTTTTTTTAAATGATCTTTTTCGCTTGGATGATCTATTCTTTTCGATATGAGATTATAGACGCCGGAGAAAGACGATTGTTTAGCTGAAGCAAAGGTTAAAGTCGATACATACAATTGCAATTGCAGCCAATATGCCTGTCTGGCTCGCCGATTTTCCCATCAAACGAAAAGATCAAGGTGAGCCCTAAATCAAATTGCTTTAATTTACGATAAATTTTGTATTACGAGAATAGAACGAAAACACATACACAGGTCATGGTATTCATTCTAGTTCAATTTTAAATCATTTTGTGCTGTTTGCTGTTTTTTTCTCTCTACCTATTCATTATACACATCACGCACAAATCACAACAACAAAAATACAACGATTAAACAAACCGTCTCAATTGATCGAAATGGAAAATAAATTGTTCTACGTATGTGTTGTTTAGATTCCTGATCGCTAGAAGCTGTGAAGATATATGCTGTCGAAAGCGTACCATTTCGAAAAAATCCACTGCCGCCAATTTTGAAAATTATACGGGCAATTATCGTCAATGCGAAATCACCAATCCAACCGTGTATAACAGTAATGTCAATAACCTGCGAATCAAGTCATTGGTGCAAATCTTTTCGGCCAACGGCAAAAAATTCGTGTGTTTGGGCTCGCTGGTACATCCCAGAGCCGTGCTCACCACACTCGAATGCGTTTCGACGTAAGTGACGTTGACCCAATGTGGCACACACCAATTCTTCTTCTTTTCTTTCTTCTCTCTCTCTCTCTCTCTCTCTCTCTCTCTCTCTCTCTCTCTCTCTCTCTCTCTCTCTTTCTCTCTCTCTCTTGTGTTGCTTTTTTTCCTGTACCATTTCGTCTATTTTTAGATACCTTTGCATCAATAATTTCCATCAATAATAATTTCTCATGTTATTCTATTCAATTTTTCATTGGTGATTTAGGTATTCGCAAGACAAACTGTATGTAAAAATGAAAGAAACCGTTGACACCTTTCAAAATTTGTATCAAATACGTAATGTATCCGAAATTATTTTGCCGGACAATCACATGGATCGATTTGAGAAGTTGCGTTTTAATATGGTAAAAACCGGATTTATCGACACTTTTTTCTTGTTGTCGTTCCTACTTCTTCTTGAGATTCTGATTTTTTTCTACTTTATATATACATATTCTTTATTGTGCCACTGCAATTAAATAATGAGCTCTTTCGTTTCGTCGCTTTTGGAACGAAAAAAAAAATGTGGCGATTTGTTTTTTTGTTGTTTCATTCAGGCTTTATTGCTACTCAACAAAGAGATGGAAATAAATACACAGATTGCCAGCTCGTGTCTGCCAAAGTATCAAGAATCTGCACAAAGTTTGGCCAATCGAAAATGTTTTGTCACCTCACTCGAATATGTCAATGGACGGTAAGCACGCAATACGGTTTTTTCTGTCAGTTCTTCTCAATAAATTCTAACGGATTCGTACGCAAACTGCGCATGTGATTAATCGTAAATTTCCTTTTTCTCGCCCCGTCGCAGCCTCATCGAACGTACGGAGAATATACAAATATTCGAAGTTGATCAATGCAGAGACATTTTTAATCACCAAAATCGACTACAAATCTTCTTCCCCAAGCAAAACATTTGTGCCGGCCATTCGAACGGACAAGGCATTAAAATCGTGAGTTATAAGCGTGATAAATGTGTTTTTTTTTTATCCAAGACACAAAGACGAACACGATCAATGAATTTTGAATGTTACTCATAGTGAACGATCAATGAACTTTCTCTCTGCTTGGATTCAGTTGCTTGAGAATGGAGATGGGATTTTATTTTCTGTTGAGCAAAAATCAACGAATTTCAATGTTTTTTTTTTTCTCAATGAAAAATTTCCTAAAGGCTTTTCTAGCGAGAAAATGGTTTCTAGTTCATCGATGTGTTAAGCCAATGAGCGTTGCTCTATTTTTCTTCGATCGAAGATTTCGGAGTGAACACCAACCAATTTAGAATTTCCATATAAATACTGATTCAGGGCATGAGTGACGGCAAAAACGGGGTCAATAATACAGGCCAAAGTACGTGCAATTTGTGTGAAATTGGCGAAAGGTTAAATGAACGCAAAGCATCGTTAAGATGTTTATTGTTCTACTTATCGTTCCGCTTTATTTACTAATTTTTTTTTGCATTATTTAACTTAAAACGCGTTTTGTTGCCGTTAATGTTAATAGCCCAAAAAAGTGTTACTGCTCTTTTCCTCTACATTCAGTGAGAGAACATTCTTTCACGTTGGTAATCATCGCGTTTATCTTGCGATTCTCAACCGTGAAATTGGCTTAATCAAATCGAGATAAGTGGTAGTGGTGGTAAAATTTATTCATATTGTACGTTTTGTTTTTCTTTTCTCTTCTCCATTTTGCAGAGATCAAACGGCGCTTCATTGATATGTTTACACGAACAAAGCGATCGAAACAACGATAGATACCACTATTATGTGTTGTACGGTCTGTTGGCATGGACAAATGACTCAACAAATATCGATCACACCACATCACCGCATCTGTTTACAAACATTTATAACTACCGCTATTGGCTGGAGAAACGACTTAAAATACTCTAAGCGAGATTCTTTCATTCATTCATTGTGAACTCTATAGTTATAAGCTCGTTCCTCATTGTGCAACAAGGATTTTTTTTTATATTATGAAACAGACAAAACGAATTGTTAATAAAATTATGCGGAGGTTTAAGAAACGAAACAAATTTTTTGTTTGAAATTCAAGAATGAAATTATATGATCAAAGCTGGAATGAAGCAATGCCATCTACCGATCAATCGCTGGATGACATTCACATCGATGAGTACTTAACAAACACGCGCGCAGTTTTGTTTTCGAATAACAATTCAAATGAGATATTTGAAATGACAGGCAACAACTGCTAAACATTCAATTCTTGTTTTGTTTATTTATTATTCATGCACCGGCTTTTTTGGTTAGAATCATTGGAGAGGGATTTTGGCAGTAAGTTTTGGCGCGAGGTAATTTCGGGATATTTGCTTTGGATGTTTTTGCGTCAAATGCTCAAAGTTTTGATTATTTTTTAAGCCACTTAGTATATTTTTGTTCCATTGCTATTGATCAAGAGTATTTTGGTTAATTCGACGCGCAGTTGATGTCAATTTCTTTGATTTTCTTATAGCAAACCATCTGAATGGTAAAATTTTGGGATCAGACAATTGTTTTCAATCAAAACCGAATCGAAATGGCACAGAACGCAGTACTGATTTACATTTTGCCGTAACACATTAATATTGTAACGAAGAGCCAAAGTAATGCTATTACAATTTTAATGCCAAAATTTAGCATTACCGGTAGTGTGTAACAATTGTAATAGCTATTACTTGACCCGTCCGTTACAATATTAACATGTTACCTAACATTAACGGTAATAAAATTCTGGAAGTGGGTTTTGGTGGATCTTCAGGATGGATCAGACTGGGGTTTCTTCCAGAACCAGGAGCGGTTTTGAACAATCCTGAGGATCCACCAAAACCCACTTCCAAAATTTTCTTACCGTTAATGTTAGGTAACATGTTACATTTGGCATTACATTGCGTGTGTAATGTTAGAAAATCATATTAATAATGTTAGAATTCTGGCATTACCGTTAATGTTAGGTAACATGTTAATATTGTAACAGACGGGTCAAGTAATAGCTATTACAATTGTAATAACATTACAGGAAATTTTTGTTAACGTAATGCTACTACCTACTACATTTTTAATGCCGGTAAATCTGTAGAACGCAGAGCCAGATGACGTTGAAGATGCGAATGATAACACTGCACTGTCAAAGATGAAGGCCTCTTCACCGCTGTTGAATTTGAAGATATAATTCATTCCATAGCCATTGAAGGAAAATTATTTCGCCAATGATTCGCTAAAATAATCTTAATACTTCTAAGAACGACCAAAAGCCAAAAGTAAATGATAACCAAAAACGATTGAAACCCAGTCTGAAATTCTCAAATGATAGCCAATTACTCTAGGAGCTTTTATTTCTATCCGCCAATACAAATTTATATGCGAAATGGTTAGAATATATGGCATATACGCGGGTTATATATGAAATATGCACAAAATATACGGCAATTATACGTGGTTATACGTATTTATATGAAACATTCGTCTGGAGATAGAAGCCCCTAGCAATTACTATAGAGCCTCATTCTGAGACTTTCAAATAGCATTGAATGAATTTCTAAAAACAAACTCCTTTTAGATTTTAAGTTTTTCAACTCGCAAAGACTTTTAAAGATTCTTAAGTTAGAAACATTAAATTCAAATAAGAAAATATCATCAAATAAGAACCTAAACCAAAACAAAAACCTATCGAATATTATCCAAAAATACTTCAAAACCCAACGAATCAACGTTTATATTAAATGTATGGACGTTTCTTTAAAAATATTGTGATTTGTTTGTTTTCAACTAAAAACCTGCTGAATTGCAAGGTATTTGTGGTTTTTTTTTGTATCGATTGCCATTATGGTATTATTATTGTGCGCTTTAACAAATTCAAGGACCATTTCTGAATTAACAGTCGTAATTCATTCAAACTTTCGTTCTGTCAAATGTTTTTTTTTCCAGTGTCTCATCCAAAGTGTTTTCTTCGGCTTGCAGCTGATACGAAAGCGGTTTGCTATGTATGTGTGTCTGTGTGTCTGTGTGTCTGTGTATCTGTGTATGAGTGAGTGAATTTTTAGCGGCGCATTTAAAAGTGCATAGTTTGAAATTATGGATTTTCCAAAACATGACAATTACTAATATTCAATGAATTTTGCGTTGGGCACGAGTCAAAGTCACGCGATATTCTACGTCCTTAAATGCGGAAGCGAAAAGAAAATACAAATTGAATCGTGCTCTGTAAACAATTGAGTGCATGCAAAACAACAAAACTCGATCGGCATAGCGAAAAATAGCGTCGACGTAAAACTTGAGAAAATAATAGCGTTTCATTTGGTTTGAATGCATCATCGTCAACGGTTTGCGACATTTGAAAAAAATGAATAAAATTGTTGTGCTGATGATGTGACAAGGTAAAATTGCCTATTGCGTCTCACTCATTCACATTGTGGTGCATAGAAAATTGAAACGGAAGCACGTTTTGCGCGTCAAGAAGTTTCCATGGAAGTCGGTTCCGAACGAAGTCGAAGCATCGATTTAATAACAGAGAGCGAGCTACAACGACAACGGCAACGTTTCATACAACACACTCAAGTCACGATTGGGTCATACACAATTACATACAGCTGAATTAGTTTTATATTGTGTGTTTGGCTGTGTGTGCGCTACCAACATAATAACCACGACGATGAGAGTAGCGAGCTTGACACGGGTTCGAATCTCCGCGAGAGTGCTCTCTTTCACTCTCTCTCTATCGCTCTCTCGCTCTGCCGCGTTTGTTGAATTTAGACGAGAGTGAAAAGGAAAGGGGCACAATATCGTCTGTCGTGTGCTAAACTCACATTTACACAGAGAATTTAAACGTGCAGCGACGACGACGATAAAACCAACAACAACGACAACGATGACTACTTGGCCCCCAAATAACTACGCACAAATAACGCACCTATACATTGAATATCGGCGCATTGTTGGCACTACTACTGTCGCTGTTGCTGCTACTTTGATCCGATTAGGTTCACAGACTAAAAACGAGAGTCACACATTGCTCGTAGAATTTTATCCATTTTATTTTGCCAGGCTTGTGGAGTGTTTTGCAAGTGCAAGAAAAGAGAAGCAAAGAGAAGAGAAAAAAAATATCAAGTAAAGCACCGACCAACTAAAACAAAACGCTAAAACTCCAAATGCAAATAATATGGAAACGGTTTTTAGTGCAACAGTGTTTTATGAAACACCGATATAAAATAACTCGATTGTGAGTGAGTTTGAAACGTTTTTGCGGGGAGAGAGAGAGTGTGTGTGTGTGTTCGAACCAACAACAACAACAACCGACAAAATACGAAACAAAACCATACCATACCGAAAAAAAAGAAGTTCAAATTCCCGAAAACCCAACAACTCACCGAGAATAAAACCACAACAACAACAACAAAAAAAACCATCACACATCTTAAATCAAGAAAATTTCAAAAACGAAATCACGAGAAGAAAACAACAGAAAAAAAACGTAAGAGAGAAAAGAATTTGAACGAAGAAGAAAACACAGAAAATAAAAAAAAGAAGATGTCTCTTGATGAAGAACCAAATCATTAGATAGATTCGCATAAGGTGAAAGGTACGTTTTTAATCGCCGCGCATGTAGATAAAACCCCGAGTCGCTCATCGTTTGTGTGTAGGAAAAAAACATCATCATCACCATCATCACCATCATCCGTGTTCCGTGTGTGGAGTTTTGTCCGAAAATAACAGAAAAAAAAATACACAGAACAGAATCATCGACGAACAGAAAAGGCATGTAACACATTGTTTTGTTTGATTTTCCGTTTGATTTTTTCATTTGATATCTAATATATGTCATATTTTTGTGCCAGTGTACATTTGGTGCATTTGTTCGTTTCGATAAAATTATATTTTCATTTGTTCAAAAGTTCGAATTCGAGTTGAAAAGAGCGAGCGGGCGAGCAAGCGAGAAGGAAAATGTTCAAAGAGAAAGATGGTGAAAGATAGCGAGTGTGTGTGTGAGTGAGAAAGAGAGAAAAGGAGAGAAAAAGAGAGTTCAAACGTAGTAGAATACAACAAATCGGGAGCGTTGTATCTGTCTGCGTATCGTAATATCGTCTTGGTCGTTGGCTGTCAACGTTTATATTCTCTCGCTCTCGGAATATATCAGTTCTTTGCTTCTTTTTTTTCTTCCTTCTTTCAATGTTATAAATGTGATTCGCGCGCGCTCTTTCTTGTTCTCTCTTTCTTTCTCTCTCTCTCACTCACTCACACTTTCGCGCTTGGCTATGTCGTCTGTTTGACTTTTTTCCGCGGTTACACTTCGATTAGTTGATAAATTTACGTTCCAGTCGGTGCCATTGAGTGTATTTGCGTGTTTCTGAACGTTGTTGTTTTTTGGAGAAGACTTTTGTTTGCATTTCAGTCGTTTTTTTTTAGTTTTTTTTGCTGGCTTTTTTAAAAGACATTGTCTTGTCATTTCCAATCAATTTCATAGTGAGAGAAACAGTGAACGAAACACCAACACACACGATTTGGACTCGTAAAACCATTGATTTTAATTTTGAATAATTTTTTTTTGTGCACTTCTTCCACGTTCCATACGAAAATCTGTAAGTGTCATTCAGAATATTTGAACGCAATAGAAAAAAGAGACGATTTTTTTTCATTGATTGTGATTTTCTACCATCTGCCAAAGTTAAAGAAGAAATTAAAAAAAAAACTAGAAATTCATCGCATTTTCATCGAGACAAGCAAGAGATAAAGAAACGCAGCAGCAGAATTTTTTTTTGCGATACGTGCGGCTCATGAGCTCCACAAAACAATTCAAGATACCCGAAAAACGTGCTCTCCGTTTTCGCCTCACTAATAACAAACACACAACAAGCCATTTCGCTTGCGTTGTGCTCTCTTGCGCCGTTTCGTAATGATAATGTGCTATGAATTGCTATTTATTTGCGTTCGTTTGACGACAACGAAGACTAATTTTGTGTGTGGGGTGTCCTTTTGTATATCGGTCGTATTTCTATGATATATCATTTTTGGCATCGTGCTAACTTGAGATTCAATATAAAACACGTGTTTTCGTATAATATAAAATCAAAAAAAAAATGATGATGATAACTCATGTGATCACGGCGAGATATACGATATCAGTTTGACGCGCCACCCCAGCTCATAATATATCATTAAATTGTGCTAAAGTGGATTGAAGGATTTTTTCCTTCTGCGAAAGATGAAAAACAAACAAAAATCTCATGATTCGCACATTTCTGGTTAGAACAAAATAAATCTATATATGCAACTTTTAGTAAAAATAGCATTCATATCACGTGAATGATATGCGTACAATGTAACATAACAATAAGGCCCCCAGTTTCTCATAGGATAGATAAATGAAAAAAAGCATACGTTCGTGTGTGTTCAAGCGCTAACTCTCTTCCACATATATTGAGAAAAGCAATTGATTTTTTCCACACTCTCTCCCTCTGTCTACATTCACTGTCTGTTCTGGTTGAATTTCACTTGCGGCTTTGATAATAATGCGACGTTGCCGTGAGTGTTCATTTAATATCCATTTGGAGATGAAAAAAACAACAACAGCAACAACAGACGACAGCTAACAATTCGGACAATTGAACACTACTCAGGCGACACGGAGGCCCAGCGAATACCGGTTGAATAGTACGAATAATATTGTAGAGTGAAGAATCCTTGAAAATGCGTCGCTTATTCGAGAAATGACAGAGTAAAAAAAGAGAGTGTTTTGTCCCACCGTAAACACGTTTTTTTTTCTTTGGGTGATATATTTCGAACCGAACAAAAATCGTGAGCCAGCGAAAGATTGAGCGAGATAGAGACAGCCGAAACTAATCCATTGTTTCGGTGTGTTGGCTTGGCCTGTTGTTTTTGCGTACCAAATTTTTGTGAGTTCATTCACATTCAGCACTACTTGAGAATCAAATAGTATACACTATACAATGTTATATGAATAGATTCGTGTGTGATATACATAGAGAAAGAGATTTAGAGAGCCAGAGAGCTAGAGGGAGAGCTGTGCGCCGCGCGCGCGATGTGTCACTGTATGGAATGTATGTTTTGCAGTGTTTGCACTCAATCATTCAGTCAAGCAATTTTTATCTCTTACCGTCGTGTATTTTGTTTTTTCATCGGTTTTCCAATTCGCTACAAATCTATCGTATGGAATATTTCGATTATTTTCATCGATATAATGGGACTGTTGCGTCAGTCAGGGTTTTTTTTATTTATACATTCTGCGTGTGTTTTGTTCGTCTTTTATTTGCCATTTCTATATCTGGTTTAAACTGAATGAATTTTTATCCGTTTGCTCTTTTTCTTCTTCTTCTTCAAAACAGGTGTTAGATGACAACATATCACATATGAAATTGATGCTGATTCATTTTTGAAGCGATACGCTCAACAAATTTACTTACAACATTCGTGTTCATTGTGATTTCCCTTGAATGTTCTCTTTTTAAAACCCAATCCCGTGTTTTGAACACTCATACACCAACGCATTTTGCAGTGCTACTTGTTTGAATGTATAAATTTCTGAATAACATTCAATTTGTATTCGGATCAATCGAAACAAACCACATGGATTTTTACCTGAACATTTGAATGGAGTTTTTACATTGATCATTGCATGATCTGGTAACTAGCCGAGATTGAGAGCAGGAGATATTATCCATATCAACTGGGACACAACCGGACACTACCTAACAACCACTTTGCCCTTTTTACTACGTTTTTTTTTTCAACAACCACCACAACAACATCATCAAAATTCATCCCAACATGAGACCGAGAATTGAAGACTCCATCGGTGGTAAGTTCGATTTTACTTGCATTCAATTGACATTTCATATTTATTTTTAATCATGGACATTTTGTTTCGGAGAAATGGAAACGAAGAAAGGAGCCAATTTTGAAAATATTTATTGGGCAATTTTAAGAAACATATTGATTTTTGAATGACATTCGATACCATTCAAGGTCACATCATTTGAACTTTGGAAAATTCGATAGGCGTTCAAAATTCATGGTAGAAATTGTGGAATATTGGAATCAACGACATTTTATGGACCACTTGACAATTTCAAGTATTTTAAACATTATTTATAGTCATATCCATTACATTTCCTCGAAGATGTACAATAGAGTAGAAGCTGTACGAAAGTTGAGGCATAGTTGTCTTTGTTTCCTGTAGTGAAAGAGGGATTTATTTCGATATTTTCCCTGCATTAGTTGGTTAAAGCTGTTCATTTGAACGATTTGCCGCTTTTTAGCTAAACGAACTTAATTTTTAAGCTATAAATCCGAGTATTTTGGGGACCAACTGAATGCAGTTGAAATTGCTTTAAAATAAACACATCGACCGAATTCATCGTCTAGTCAGTGAGTAAATTTGTTTTGCACGTGGGTAAATATACATGTGAAGTCGTTCCAATCTGTGCTTAAAGTACACGTAATTGTTAAAGCCCAGCTAATTTTAATCCAAAAATAATTCCTTTTGAAAAAGCCAAACAAACCCATAAAATCGATACAAAAAAAAATGTCAATTCAAAAAAAATTGCCACTTTTTTCCATATGAAAAAAAAGGTTGTTGTACAGACAACATTTCAAGATGAAGATCACGTATATGCAATAGCAAACCCAACAAAAAAGCGGACACATTGTTCTGAAAGCAAATTTTGACGCAATGCTAAAGTGCTAATAGCTTGAAAACGAAATCAGATAAATAGTTTCACTCTCTTTTTTTTCCGTCAGTCAGTTTTTGGACATTTGCTAATCTAATCAGGCAATCTTTAATTATTCCAATAGCGAACTATCACCTCATTTATATTTTATGGTTAACAATTTGAGCGATTTACTGCTATTAAAGCTCATGTTGTTTGTTGTAATAAAACAGAAAAGCTAGAGAGATAGAAAAAACACTTCGATTCGCTCCGCTCTGCGTTCTTGAGTTTTTAAGTTACTTAATCTATTTTGTTGTTTCACAACAAACAATTTTTTGGCGCACTACATGAAATGTATTTCATCAAAGTAACTTCGAAGTAATATATTTATTTTCAAAATGAATTACAAGATCTTGGTTTTATTTCTTTTTTGAAATATACTGCCTTTGGTTTAAATTAAATAAGAGCATAGAATCTAAAATCACTTTGATTCTGTTCAAGACTCAGAAAAATACTATACGAAAAATTAATGTAATTTTTAAACAACATTTCTATTGACTAGATCGAGAGGAGAGTAAGTTCATCTGACTTTGTTATGAAAGAGAAGAGTAAGTTTCTTTCGGCTCAAAAATGGTTAAAGGCGAGTATGTTCATCTTTGGCGGGTCCTCGCCAAACCTATAACATTGCTGAAGTCAGTTATCTCTTATCTCTTATCAGTTCCGCGAAAAGCGCGAAAAATGATAAGAAAAAAAAGTTCTATATAAAATTTGCTTTTTTATGTGCGCGATTTGCGCGCAACTGATAAGAGATGAGAGATAGATGTCTTCAGCAATTTATAGAAGACCTCGAGTACTACAACTTTGCCGAAGACAACATGTTGTTATCTCCTATCAGTTGCGCGAAAACCGTGAAGACCGCAGAGGCTAGATGGTACTACAACATACTCTACTTTAACGCCAACAGAATCATCAGAAAACATACTCTCCTCTTCCAAAATATATTAGAATTTTTTCACATACTCTCCTCTCGATCTAGTCAATAGATTTGATAATAAAAATTTGATTGGGGCGCTTTGAGATATTATGTACTTATTTGTCGTTACTGCCACTGTTTTAAATTGAATAGAAAATATGAGCATAAAATTCAAATTCACCATAATTTGTTTCAACACTCAAAAAGTATCTAGGAAAAAAAGAGCAGATTAGTAGCTCTACATTTCATGTAGTGCTAAAAAACATTATCTCGACGTCTTGTTTTTTCTTTTCCTTTCGACGAACGCATGATGATGATTAAGCTTGGAAATTATATGTGACGGTAAAGCCAATTATTATCAGTGCCCAATGAATAGGAAAAAAATGGCCTGCAATTACATCATTTTTCATTCGTGCGGTCAAAAAAATTGAACATGGAGCGAAATCGATTCGAAATCAACAAACTGTTCATTTGTTAACATTCATGTTGCCTGGGCACTCGATACGAAATGAAATAAAAACCACCAACAACAACAATAGCAACAATACAGTACGGAGCAAGAGAGCGAAAGAGCAAGAGAACGGGAGAGAAAGGGCAATTAGAAAACGAATGCAACGCCATCACTTTTTGTGCTTCAATATCTATCCATATTTATATGATTCCATTTAAATTAGCGTCGAAACCACAAATGAAATTATAATGGACAAGGTCTTTAACAATCAATTATTATATTTCCGTCTTTACAACGTGTTGCGTCGTCGCATGCTGCCACTGCTCGCATTTATTTACTGTTTCGCTGTGTTCAAGTGTGTATGCGTGGGTGGATTATGGGTGTTCAGCGTAATGTGATAACGTGGTAAAACGTTAAAAGGATATGAAAAAAAAAACAGATGGCAAGCAAATAAATTTTATTTAAAATGATAAACAAAAAATGAAAAGAACACCGCGTAGAAAATGCGATGAAGAAAGCAGCAAAATGATTGATTTTGTTTGCACGAAGGGAAGGGAAAAAAATACGTTTTCGATTGGTTTTGCATCTTTCTCTTGCTCGTGTCGTCAACAAAAAGCAGCAAAGTGCTCCGAACACCATACACATACCATTTCTCTTAACCTTCAAACCGTAAAATGTATTTTCTAACGTTGTTCGTAAAATCGGTGCCTGAGTGCCCATAATGCATTTTATATGGGAAATGTCAGTTTTTTCTTAAAAAATTTTTAAATGTAAATATTTCAGTATTTATTGATCGGAAAAGTATGAAAATAACTATGAAATGTTATAAAAGTCATAAAAAATCGAAATATGAAAGACAACAGCAAGTTTCATGGAATTTTTTTTAATTAATTGGGAATTGCAATGTTGATCTCTTCACAAAAATGAAGGCAAAAACATATACATACAAATTCCACTATGGCCGATTTTGACGTCAAAAATTGAGATTTTGAATTGAAAAAAATTGAATGGCAGGTTGGATCAAAAAGTTATGTATATCACTAGAAAGATCTTGAAAAGTAGATGTCATTTTTGGTATAAAACTTCAAAATAGGCCGGTATTTGGCTAATATTTGGCCGTTGGAATTTTTTGGCCAAAATTGATAAAATATATATTTTGATAAAATGATGATCGATTTTGATGTTTTATAACTCAAATTACATGTACTGTTCAAGATCTTTCCAATTATGTATATTTCATAGTTGCCACATTAATTTTTATAAGCAATTTGTCGAAAAATGTATATGGGCACTCAGGCACCCATTTTACGTATAGCGTATCACACATGTTTGCGCGCATATGTGGTAAGCTAGTGCGCTTATGTGGGTATATTAACGCAATTTTTGTAGCCAAATGTTCAAGCAATCGAACCATAGTTATTTTATTAATTTATGATAAGAAATAATTAAGATATAAGCATTCAAAGTTGGTTTTGGGCACACAGTGCCCAATTTACGGTTTGAAGGTTAATTGATTATCTTACCTATTCATTACACCCTCTCATGCTTGCTTACGATCATCATCACAAGCGTGTATCGTACACTGAACACTGTTGTTTGTTTCTCTCTCTCTCTCTCTCTCTCTCTCTCTCTCTCTCTCTCTCTTTTTTTTCATTTTTTTTCTCGTCAAAGTAATTAGATTTCATTTTGGTATTCCACGCGTGACGACCATACCACAATGTATCAGTTGTTTATTTATCATGTCGATTCCGTCAAGTTCACAATATCTTTTTTTACTTTTTGTTTTGTTTTGGTGTTTAATTTTCAATGTGTCACACAACAGATGACATGACATTTTGAGAGAGCAATTTTCATGTTCGCTTCTTTACACACACAAACCTACAACACACGACAATTCCAATTGTATTGACGAAGATCACGAGAGTCAGACACACACAGACACACAGACACACACAGACACACACAGAAATGTGGTAATGGATAATAAATTTGTTTATCTTATCAATAAAAAAAATTTGTTCAATTTTGTATTGTTTTTTGTTTTTTGTTTTCGGTCAATATTAATTTGATCGATATACAATGCAACAGAAATGGGTGTTTTTCTTTTCATGTACCAAGATGTAACTTGTATTTCTAATTTAATTAGCAGCAAACGATAAGTCCAAGGAATCTCACACACACTCACAACAAAAATAATTGAATAGTTAAACCCCGTCGAAAAATAACAGAAAAAAAACGATAATTAACAGACAAAAGAAAAATAATCATAAGCAAATGCAAACGAGCGACTTTTATGTTATGACCAATCAATATTTACATCTCTGACCCATCATAACACAGGCTTCGAAATGAAGTTCTCCTACGATAGCGGTACGTTTCAACTACCCCCCGAATTTTTGTTGTTGTTTGCTCTACGTAGGGAACAGGGTTAATATTTGTTGAACGGCAAAAGCCATAGGTCTAATTAGCAAATGCTATTTAATTAATACAAAAAATACGGCTACATTTACTTTTAGCATCCACAGAAGAAAAAAAATAGAGAGAGAAAGCTTTTAGTAGTAATTAAAATGCTTTTGATTATTCTTCAATGCAATATATTGTTCACTGAATAAACCAAGCTGCATTTTATAATCTTTTTACCACTTGTTTTCACACCATTTCACAGACGATGCTATGGAAGACTGCGGTTTTCTCAAGTTCACCGACGAAACGCTAAAAGGAACCTTCCTACAGACGCTCAATACGATGCGCAAACATCGGCTGTTCTGCGATGTTGTGCTTAATGTAAGTATTTTTTTGCATGAAATACCGCTTCGTTTAATTACTCCATTTACTCCGTTTTTTTCTTCTCAATGTTCACATTGGAATCAACATGCTTTTTTCGGGGTGGTAATTGCTCATATTAAAATTTTATGACTCTTTTATTTCTCGCACTCTGTCACTCTCCGTCCAAACAGGTTGACAACACCGACATTCATGCTCATAAAAATGTACTCGCCTGTGTATCACCACATTTAATGGAATTGTTCTCAGCCGAGGAGGTTTGTATTCATGATTCGCGTTTTTTATTTACTAAATTTAGCTTTTATTGATGATAAAATAACACTCTTATCAATGACAAAATTATCCGATTTACGGATTTTTTTTAACCTAAAAATAAATTACGCGATTTCTTTGATTCACATTCGGTTCATTGACATTTGATGACGAAATGTTTATTTTTAAACTTTTTTATAAATTGTTTTTCATTAAAAAGTCGCTTCTGCTAACAAAGAGTAGAGTGAAGCTTTGCGAACAGTTTTTAAAGTTTTCCGGATTTTTTTTACCAATTAAAAACAAAGAAAAAATTGTTTTATTTATTCATTCATCATTTCTTGCAGGTCACACAGAATGGACGTAACGATGGCATTCCAAGCTATCGAATGAATGGCAGCCTCACAAAGATCGCGCTCGAAATTCTGGTCGAGTATGCGTATACAGCACAATTGGAAGTGCCGGATGCATTGGTAAAGGATGTTTATTTGGCCGCCTGGCAATTGAAAATTGACCGTGTGTATGGCGAATGTGCTCGTCATTTGATTGAAGAACTGGCAGCAGATACATGCATTGAAGTTCGTTCATTGCCAGGAATCAGCAAAAATAAACAATTCGTAACGGCTGTCGATGACTTCATCTCGCGAGAGGTAAACCAATCCAGCTCTTATGATATTATATTTGTTTATACATATTAATGCCTTACATAACTGTGTGTCATTGTCTGTCTGTGACGTTGTTTCGCAATCAAACATGATTTTAATCATGTGCGACTGAGCAACAAAAAAAGAAGAGCAACAAAGCAAGCAAGCAACCAATCGACCGACCGAAATCAACTGGTTTCGTCTTGATAACAATGGCAATAAATGATATCGTTACGATTTACGTTTTTTTTTTGCCCACGCGAATTTCACGCCATAACATTGTGATATTATGCACCAATTGAGCTCATACACAGACGTCCCTGTGTGAATGAATGAACTTTGTCTCAAGTCGCATCGCTTCTTCATTTCTTCTGTATCTAGTTCAAGATCAATGCTATGAAAAATTAAACAGAAAAACTTCCGTTACGAAATTGATTAATCTTCATTTTGCTTTGTTTCTTCCCCCATTAGTTTGAGGATGTGTCAAAGACGAGTGGTTTTTTGCAATTGTCGTGCGCTACGATTGATGTACTGTACCAAACCAAGACAGAAATGTCAATGGTTGCTCATCAATCGCTGTGTCGGTTGGTGCTTGACTGGATAAAGCGTCAAATTTGTGAGGATAATTTCGGTATGACACAATTGCTGGAACGATCACATATGCTGTACTTGGCATTGGATAATTCGTTGCAAGATTGCTCAAATCTACCACCCGGCCACGAATCCGAATCGGATTTGGTACAAGACTATAAGCGTCTCGTATTGAAGTGTCCAAGCAACACAAACCGTCGCCGTAAGCAAATGGGCGTCCCAGGTCGACCACGCGTTCTCATTTATTCGCGTGACATTGGGCAACGCGACGATGAACAAAGTCAAATCGAACCCGACTGGAACTTATTGGGCTCAACAAAGGTGGCGGAAAATACATTCTTATCACTGGTCACGATCAATGGCATGTTGACGCGGGTTTCGGTTCAGCTGCGATTGAATCTACCACCGACAACACCATCGCCGGTTCATGCTCCCGAAAGTGCCGGAGCCTTGCTTCAAACGCAACTCAGTCGAAGCAACACCAGCTCAAATGGTAGCATCAATGGTGATATTGAAATCAACCAAGAACCAGAGCTATTCTGCGAAGTTGCCACGATGTCAGGACCAAAATGTGGCCTTGGCGTTGCTGAATTGAATGGCAAATTACTGGTGGGCATTCCGGATTTGATTCAATCTCTTTCTTTGGGTCGCACTGCTTTTCTAACAATTGATTTTGACATTCGCCAAACTAGGTATGCGGTGGCTATGATCGTGGTGAATGCTTGCGAAGCGTGGAGTCCTATGACCCAGAGCTGAATGAATGGAGCAATGAAACGAAAATGACCGAGGCGCGCGGTCGTTTTCAGGTCACTGTTTTGGACAATGTCATCTATGCCATTGGGGGAAGTAACGGTGAGTGTGAACGTTTTTATTGAATTTTTCTTTTCATGTTCAAAGGAAAATTCCAAAGGAAAATGCCTTAATTCTCGATCAATTTCGACCATTAGGTACAACTGAACTGGACACTGTTGAGCGGCTGGAACCGAATGAGAAAAAGTGGCGAAAATGTTGTAGATTACCGTTGGCCCGTAGCAATGCCGGTGTGTGCACATTGAACGATAATATATTCTGTATTGGCGGTTGGAATGGTCAAATTGGCATCAAACAATGCGATTTGTACAATTTGAAAGAGGATAAATGGTCATCAATTTCACCATTAAACATCGGACGTTATCAGGCTGGTGTGACGGTATTTAAGCAGAAAATTTGGGTAGCCGGCGGAAGTGATGCATGGGCATGCTTGAATTCCGTCGAAACCTATGATCCGGAATTGGATATTTGGACGTTTGCACCGCCATTGCTAACGCCACGCCGTGGTTGCGGTTTGGCCGAATTCAATGGGAAACTGTATGCGGTGGGCGGCAGTGATGGTACACATTCTTTGTGCACGACTGAGATATTCGATGAGAAAAACAAAGTATGGGCACAGGGACCCAGTTTAACATCACCACGTGCAAATGTATCTGTGGTTGAGGTGGCTGGAAAGCTGTACGCCATCGGCGGTTTTTCCGGTAAATGCTTCCTGAACACCGTCGAATACTTGGATTCAAATACAAACGAATGGACAACATTTGTTAACGTTGACATCGGTCCATCGTTAATCTCCTCACAAACAAAACATTCGAACGGGACACAACAGCAGTTGGAACAGCAACTGCAAAAATTACTACTGAAAACCGAAGGTTTTGCTGGCGATTATGATGGCGTAAATGGCTGTCATCATCACCATCATCATCATCATCATCATCAGAACGGTGCAAGTCAGAGTCATTCACGTTCCGAATCGGAATCCGAATCAAAATCACATCAACATGAACAACAATCAAGCGGCGACGAGCAAAGTAACAATCATGCTAATGATATTGTCACCAGTTAATTCGCATCGTCGCTGAATAAATGATATTTTCAACATAAAAGAAAGCAACAATAACAAATCAATCCGATTGGAAATCAAATTAAATCAAAGAGCATGGAAAAAACAATACATACAAAAAAAGAGAACTAAAAACGATCCAACAAAAAAAAAATCACAACAAAAGCTGCAAATGATGATGTTCAACTTGCAACAAACAAACAAACAAAAAAAATCAACAAGAGCAAATGCGAATTCGAGCTGATAAAATTTATTGATATTTGAACTTTTATTGTATAAGGGTGGATCGAATTTTCAAATCACATAGGACCATACCCGAGAAGTGTCCTAATCGAAAAAGTAAAACATTGATTTTTTTCCACGCAGAAAACTTGCTTGTATTGTGGCCATCTTTCGTTTAATACACTTCAAGGGTAGGATCAAATATGATTTTAAAGATCGATCCACCCTAAAACATAGCCGAGATATGTCATCCTTTTTCCCTTTTTAAAAGTTTATATATACACACAAAGCATTAGTCACGTATTTCTATACAAATGAAAAGAAGAAACAAGAAAAAAAAACTTTATCCAAAACAAAGGCGATAACTCATTAAAAAAAGTACACTATTTCATAATAAAAAAAAACCAACAAACTCTGAGTAATTGCGGTTTTTATTCTCCTTTTGTCCTGTCCGTGGTGATGAAAATTATCTGAAACCAATTTTTATGGAAAAATGATTGAAACGCAAGGATTTTATTTTAAATGGGCGTTCCGTATAAATAAAACTTTATTTTGTTTCATTTAGGCTTTTGTTATATTAAAATGGTCCGTACTTTTTACTATCTTTTTGTTTGGAAAAAAGTAGTATTTTTTTCATGTTGCATGTCAACGCGTTATCTTTTGTAGTTGTTGTTATTGTTTGAATATCAGAAGATTCGTTTCAATAGAATTTTCAGTTTTTTTTTTCATTATTTTTATATCCTAGCCCAATTTGCGCAAGCCTTAAAATCTGAATTTTATTAATGGATGGCTCATATTCGGCCTTCCTTCAAGGTTTGTTTTTGTTTTCTCGTTTTTTTGTAGCTTTTTAATCCAGACAGAACAAAAAAAAATGATTCATTTTCGTTTTTGTTTCTTGTTTGCAAACAACCAGAAATAATAATAACATTTTGCGTTATGCCAAAATAGCGGCCTCTTAATTTATCAATTGCTATATCATTATGTTATCCTTGCTGCTATTGATGGCGTTCAAATTTTTTTTTGCTCGTCTGTTTATGTCTGTACACGTTTTTGTTTTTTGCTGTTTGGTGTTTGTTCTGTATTTGCATGCGTAAGTTTTACAATTCGCTTGTTGGTTTGGTTGTTTGTTTTTTTTTTAATGTTTTTCTGTTGCTTTCTTTCTGTGTCATTTGCCATCTCCCTACGTTATATTACTACCAATAAATGTATGAATCACCTTAAAAACATGCCTAAAGCACTTAAAGTATCTCGAAAATCTGTCTACTAAATACAATTTGTAGTTGTTTCTTTTTTTATATATACAATCATTCGAATTTCGAAATGAAAAAGAAAACACAGAAAACAGATCCGTTCTGCTGCATTGCTGTTGTAAGTGTGTGTGTGTGTGTGTTGAGATAGAGAGAGAGAGAAAGATAGTGGAAGGGAAAGTTTGGATTTTATAACCGGTAAAATGAAAATTATATCGATAGATTCGGGCTAGGATTTTTTGTTTGTTTAAGTTTTAGTTTTGCTTGGTTGTTTTTTTTTGTTTTGTTTTCTTGTTTGGATTATTTTTTGTAATGTTATGTGTTTTTTTTTAATGCCGTTGTGTCAACTGATGAGTTGTTGTTGTTGTTGTTGTTGTTGATGTGTGATAAAAGTGCAAGATCTCTACAGTGATTAAATATGCAATGATAAAACGTGTGAATATACTCTCAATTTGCTTTTTGTCTCATGTGAGAATCGTTCGCACGCGCATTTGGGAAAAAGGAAAACATAAGCGATAGGAACCAAAATGGGCAATTGGATTTGGTTTAAGTTTGTAAATATTTGATAAACTGGCTTATAGGCAACCAGCAATGGTTATGTATTTTATTAACTGAGTAACGTTGTGCGGTTCAGAAATGTATTGACTAGGCTGGTACAGTTACTTCTGCATCATTGTTTAATCTCTTTAATGTTTATTCTATTTTCACTTTTATTCTTCTTCTTCATTCTTTTGCTCACTGTGTTAAAAATCATATCGTTTTCTTGATTGGTTACAACATCTTTTTCTTCTTTTTCTGGCTCAAGTCACTCTTAATCCTGCTTTAAAAGCAATTCCTTCAAATATTTCCCAAATAAAATCAGTAGTAAAAATTGACGTTGGTCAATGATTTTCTTCATATATTCGATTAATTTCCATATTTCCTCCAGTAAAATCCATTTTATTTACCATTTTCTATCACCCGAATCAAATCTCCATATAAAAACACGTTGCAAATGGTCGACAACGGACAAAAAACCGCCTTGAATTAGATTGTCCAAAAACAAAACAAAACAAATAACGTCACCTTGATCTTCGTGACCGTCGTCAATACATTTCTGAACCGGTAAATCTGCATCTAAAATTCTAAATCGACAAAGAATCAACCGAAAAAAAAGACGAACAAACGGAATAAAGCTTTCATAGAGCTTGATCATGTGGCGTTTTGTTTCTTCATTTAGGCAGAGAGAATTTGAAACGGAACTAAGATCACTAAAAAAAATGAGCAATGATTCTATGTAAAATCTATATAACGATATATGTCGCATTGAAAAACATTCTTTTGCGCGCTACTTAAATAAAGCTGAATCGTTCGTTGTGTCAAATGATAAGAAAGTAAGTATATATTTTTTTTTGTATATCAATGTGTGTTTAACAATTGAAATGTTTTTTTTTTAAGTTGTGTTGTATTTAATCGCTAGAAGAATATAGAAAAATAAGAGCTTTTTCCATTTTTTTGGTTGTATTTGCTTGATTTTTGTTGTTGTTGTTGTTGTCTTAAATTTGTATGATGTAATATAAAGAAATCGATTTTTTCTTTTGGTTACTTTTATATGATGGAGATGGATTTATGAAAAAAATGGCAATTTAAATAATTTGCTTGCGTTTCGACGTCGTGATGTGATATAGTTTTGTTGTTGTTGTTGTTTTCGTTTGGTGTGTAATGAATTGTGTGATTTCTTGGTGAAACTCGGTATTGTTTTTACCTCATCATGTGCTTCTTTTTGTATCATAAATTACTTAAATATTTTGGCATCATTTTGTAAATGGTATTACATTTTCTTTTCATTCATTCATTTCAAATGTATTCATAAGCTTCTTAAATTGAATGTTTTGATTTTGTTGTCATTATTTGTGTGTATGTGTTTTTTGAGAGAAATGAAAATGTTATCAATAAAACTTGGGAATCCGTTTCAATTTGAAAACGGTGTGTGTGTGTTTCATCGTCGATGGAAAAACTTTCAAATGAAATGGACTGAATGAATTTCAAGTGTCGGTTGACGAAATGAATGTGGCATCGGCGGCGAATTGTATGAGCTATGATTCGATTTAAATGTTATCAAGAATGTCGGTTAGAAATAAGCGCGATATAAATGTATTTTGTGTTCGTAGATTTGGCGATTTGCTTGCGTTGCCAATTTCGCATGTGGTCAGTGGATTGAATGTGCACTGTTTTCGATGTTTTCTGGTCGTTGCTGCCGCCGCCGCAGTTGCCACATCACTACTTACATTTGTCGTTGTTGTTGTTGCGGCTGTTTTGGCATCCTGAGCTGCTTTCTTGTCGCTACAATTGCGTACACTTTTATTCCATGTAACACATCGATCGTCGACGATTAACTCATCATGTTTGCCGCATAAAATCGCTGACTCGGATTGCAAATCATTGGCCATGGTTTTGCGTGCGGTGGTATTGATTTCGGTGAGTGTGGCAATATTTACACCAACATTTGTCCGCATTTCCGACTGTATCGTCGTTACATCTTCGTTACAATATTGCTTTTGATACATGGAGTCTTGAAGATTCGTGTGGTCCCGACCAACATCATCATCGTCTTTGTGCTCATCGTTTGAACTGTTTTTGTAGCTGTCGACGGTCGCATCGCTTGAAAAGTTCAATGGTGGCGGTGTCAACATTGAATTACCGGTTGTTTCATTTCTTGTACTGTGTCCACTGGCATCCACTGCCGTTGCCATCGTGGTCGCTGTCACCGTTGTCGTTGCTGCACTTAATTCAGCCTCATGAAATGATTCATTATTTTCGATGTTGTACAAATATGCACGACGCTGCAATTCAGTTCGTATGCTCCAGTTGCGCAAATAAATGTCAATCTTATACGAACGACCACCATGCGCTAACCGATAAATGGTCTGAAGTCTGTAAAAGAGATCAAACGAGAGGTAAAACATGATGGCATGAAAATTGAGTACGAATTTCATTTTGAACGAGCAAATTATTTGCTTTGCCCCCAAAAACGCCTACCTCGACATTAGCAAATGCAATCGCGACCATTGACCCAATTTTCGCATTGACTTGCAAATACCAGTAATCGCTAGCTTGTTCGACACATTCTGTTCGAGTATCCGTTGGAATGTATGCATTGCAGCAGGTGCCAGTCCTATTTTTGGTGTCGTTGTTGGTTCAGAATAGATAAAGAGACGGCCGGGAGAATGGGTAAATGGAAAATTTTGTACCGAAAAGTGTAATAAAGTAATTGAATATAGTTAGGTGGAAGAAACAAGCATACACGAACAATTGTGTGATCACAAATGGGTATCAAACGAGATACAGAGGAAGAGAGAGAGAATGGGAGACATAAAGACGAATTTTCTATTTACCGTTGTTTAGAAGCCATTGTCCAAAGGCGAGCCTCAATTCCAAATTGTCGGGATTCGCTTTTATTGCATCAGTTAAAATAAGAGCCGTCTGACTTCCACGATGTAAACGAAACAATTCCAAATGGGCTTGAACATATGTCGTATCGATTTCAGTGCATTTTCGTAGCATTCGGATCGCGTCATTGGTTCGGTTTTTTTTCCTGTAAAGCATGACAGCAGAAAAAGCCAAGGGAATAAGAAAAGTTGGCAGGCACCGGCATAGCGAGTGCGAGAGTGCGGATGAGAGAGAGAGAGAGAGAGAGAGAGAGAGAGAGAGAGAAAGCGGAAGTGAGAGGAAATCAAGTGAATGTTGGTCAATAAAATCACAAAATGTGGACGCATAATAAGTGTATGTGTTGTGTCTTTGCATACACACATGTCTCCCTTTCTCGTTGGTTAGTGGTTCGTTAATATGGTGTGTTACAGCACATCGGCACAAAATGCGAATGCAGATGTATATTGTATAATGGTATGTAATAAAAATTCTTTCACTGAACCACGTCACACATATATTCCATACTTCTTCTCTCACTCTCCTTGTCTCTCACTCTGCGTATGACTATTTTCGGGGATGGTTACAAGGAAATGGTCACTTACAGATAGAGTTGTCCCAAATTAAAATGAGCATTTACATGCGTTGATGCATAAGTAATGGCCGATAAGAAATGATTCTCAGCCACGTCTAAATTATTGACTAACGTTCCTAAATTGTTGTGAGCACTTGCATACGTTGGCCACAATCTGCCCAGTTCATAGCAAACGAAGACCACAAAAAAAAAAATGGTAAAAGAGAGTGGAGAAAAAAAAGTTAAACATTAAAAAAAAGTTAAAACATTTTTGTATGAGCACAAATGATGGTTGGTTGGTCGGGAATGGGCTCAAGTAAATGGTGTAAATGGGATGATGCTGGGTAATATGGATGCTGGGTTACGACACATACACACACACGCATACGCATACACAGAGAGCGTGTACTCATGTCAATAATTCGAAATTGTGTTGTTTAATTATCCGAGTGGTGCAAATGAAAGCAGTCAAGTGAAGGAAATGCGGATGAATTGAGTGAGCGGGTGGGCGACCAGGCAGTCAGTCGGATGGATAAAGAGTGGAGTTTATCGGATATTTATTTGTTATGCGTGAGTTTTGTGCCCTCTGTGTATGTATGTGTGTGTGTGCCTGGGTGTCTTTATCTGATGTGCCATTCGCCTAAGCAGAACGGGCACACGATGTATGCGGTTGACGCGCACTAGAGAACCAACTGAAAGTATTTTCTTATACAAACATAAATTACAAAATTTAAAAAAAAGGAAAAGAAGAAGAAGAAGAAGAGTAGCAAAAACAGTAGAACAGAACAAACCTTAATGCTTCCCGATAGTGTTGCTTGGCTGTTTCATGTTGAAATGAATCCTTTAGGAAATTTCCGAAATTGTAGTGCATCTTGGCGTTGTGTGGCAGCACTCGAAGTCCGGCTCGCAGCAAACATTCACGTGAATACCAATCTCGATTACGTGTTATTGTTTTACAGGTGCCAACGGTAATTAGCAGTATTCCCATAAGAATGATAAAGCTGCGGTATTTAGACATCGTTTCCCACATTATTTGCGCACCATAAACGACAAGCAGAACGCAGCCCAAACTGTTTATGTGCGTTTGTATGTGTTTTGCAAAATGCATCAAAGCGAAATTTTGGCGAAACGCACACACATTTCCAAAGGAGCGACAGCACGCGCGCGTGTGTGTGTGCATGATGTGTATGGTTGTCGATGAGCGAATCGAAGTGAGCGGGCGCGCACACCAGCAATAGCATGGACAACACATCCAATGAGTTTTAATGTCGATGATTACACGTGCGTGCAGAGAAGATTCAGAACACCGTATCATATCCCCCAATGGCAAGCCGAAGTCCAAATCGAATAATCAACCCCGAAGAGTGTGAGCGTTGCGACCGAGTAGTGATAGAGTGGGTTCCATTTGACACACACCACATGGGAATATTAAATGATAAAAACAGAAATCAAAATGTCAAAAATAGTACAATAACAACGACAACGACAACGACAACAATAAAAATGACAAAAACAAAGCATAAACGGGGAAAAAATGGAACTTCCCATCCATAACTAAATTCCAAAATCCTCTATCAATACAATGCAAACATGCGTTTATCAGTGCTTTTGAAATAGGATCGAGCATGTGTGTGTCTCTGTGTGTTTGTTTCAAATTTATCGATTTCACAGTTTGCGTGTTTGCATTGGACACATTTCGAATGACAAAAAGCCAAATTGACCAATAGACCGAAACATCCAATGGAAATAGTGTTTGTAATCGCCTGCTCTCTCTCTCTCTCTCTCTCTCTCTCTCTCTCTCTCTCTCTCTCTCCATCTATCTATCTTCCATGGAACATAAAAAAGCGTTCAACTAAATTGCAATACTAGATGTAAATAGAAATGGAGGGATGACAAAAAGTTAGCAGGACCTGCGGCTGCTGTTGCTGCCTGCCTGCCTGTTCTCGAAACGGACAATGCGAATTCTCATTTCCGCAATTTTCCATTGTCTAATTGTGTTTTATAAACGACGATCCATAGTCCAACAATGAGCCAACAAGAACATTCTTGCGATCTCGCGTATTCATTTTTATTATAAAATGAAAACTGAATTCCATCTAGATTTATTATTAAAAGCGAGGAGAGAGAGAGAGTGCGCGTTGGCAAAAATGCTCAATTATTCAACCTATTTAGCGGATTTGCGTTTACTCTTTGCCATTTTCGTCCGGACATAAAGAAAAAATAACTGGAAGGCAAGAATTTGGAAGCTTCAATGGATTTTCTTATATTCAAAGGAAAAGGTTTCTTATTTTCCATCCTTTGTTCAAAGAAATTAGTTCCAATTAAGATTATTTCAGACACACACACACATTTAGAAAAAGGAAGAGAATGAGATGAAATCGCAACAACCGAATTTAATGAAAAAAGCTTAATAATTAGGCGATACTGTGCTTTTTTCAAATTAATTCCCACCCTCGTTCTCTCTTTCTCGATCCTCAATCAAACTGAAGTTCGGGTATTTGGTATTTCTTTTTCGAAAAATGCAACGCTGGGAAGAAAAATAAATTTCAACCGATTAAATGAGTTTCAAATAGAAAAATGGTGAAATAAATCCTCAACTAACATACATACACACACAAAGCGTATATTTTGGTTTTAAATATTAATTATTTCACAAAACGAATGAAAGAGTGCTAAAAATGTGAGCACTTAAGCGAAAGAGAGCGAGTGAGTGAGCACGAGGAAGCAAATGAGAGAGTGTCCGTGTTGAAAAAGTTATTCAAGCATTTTTGTTATTCAAGCTCAATGCTTTCTAATTTATGCGGTGCTGTGATTTTTCGTGGCTTTGCCAACGACACAGTACTCGGTGTATTGTGTATGTTTGAATACACCGGGATCGGCTTTTTCACCTTTTGTATTGACGTGACTCAAGCACATAAACGGCTCACCAACGTTCGGGGGATGGATAATTCGTTTTCATTTTTGTGCACATAAAAATGCAATTTACATCTAGAGAATTTTCCGTACACATGGATCGGGTAGTTGTGGGGGGGGGGGCAGGCATAGACAGGAGAGAGAGGTGGCCTAGAACGAGTTTTACCGATTGAAACGATAGGCCACGTCTCAAAAAGTATTTATGTGATACTTAAGAGCGATTTAATGAGCAAATGACGAATAAACAAAAACTATAACCATAAATAAGACTATTCGGTGCTATTCTCGATTGATTGTAATTTTGTGTGTGTGTGTGTGTGTTGTTGTATTTCCAGTTTGTCGTTCCAGTTACACAATATAGCCTATTAATACCATGGATTGGATGGGGGGTTAAATTGGATAACCAAATAGATATTCATACCTGGGTATATAGAGAACACGTTCGGCAACAACAAATCCAACGGTAACAAACAAATTGGTGGCTGGTAAGAATGGCAAAATGAGCAGCAAGACACCTAGCATGAGTGGTGCATAACGTTGACTCTGTAAACAAGAGAAAAACAACAAAAAAGAGCAAAGAACCGAAAAACAATAACATGAAAGAGAAGAGAGAAGAGATATTAGGCAAAAAAGATAAATGGCATATCAGTAAATGTGAGGAGTAAACAGTAAGCAAGAGAGTGAGATGCGTTTTTAATTGCAGGATATCGAAAATTATGATTATTGAACAAGCAGAAGGTTCTTACCTCAAAATCGAGAAGGCTTTTGTGCAGCATTAAGATGGTCGATGCAAAGGCCCACAGTGTTAGCAAATTTCGAGGATCACTGATTGATGTGAGCAATGGTATGGATCCCATCTGCCAGTCATGGCTCAATGTTGATGGACATAGCACGAGCCACCAATTAAATGCAGCCAAATAGCAAAACGTTAACATTCTGTGAAGTTGAAAATGGGAAAATTGGAAAGAAAGACAAGAAGAAAAGAGAGAGAGAGAGAGAAATTTGAGAATTTGCAATTTTGATTCTCTAGCTGTGTTGTTGTTGGTTGTTGGTTGTTTATTTCTTTTTGCGTTCAGCTTATTTTTCCATTAAACAGAATGACGTTTTGTGTGTGTGTGAGTGAGTGTGAGTGTGTTTCACCAAAAGATTATTGGTGCAAATAAATTACCTGACATAAAAACTGGGATGATATGCTGTCGGATTATCCTGTTGTGAAAATTTCGGAAATGATCCTTGCAACAACGCCAATCGTATAATCAGCAGAATGCCCATTGATATTAATAATTTGGAGAGACGACGATAGCATTGTTGACTTTCCGGTGTCCAATGAACATCGACCAAAGTACGTTTTAACGACGGCCAACAACGATACAAATCATACGTTAAGTTCACTAAAAATACCGTAATGCCCGTCTCTTTCGATAGCATGGATATACCACCAAATAGTATGCTTAGCCATGTTGATGCATTGTCCGAACTGTACGCTTCCCTGTGTTTTTTTGGTGTGTTTCCCCCACCGTCGTCATCGCCAAAAAGTCATCATCGTTTGCAAGAATGAAATAATATGACAAATATCATGTTGTGGTTAGTAAAATAGCGATTTCGATGCGTCCAACCGAAAAGGCACATCGATTTATATAAAATTGTGCACACCGAATTTTGTGTTGCGTGTACATCGAACAGGAGGATTCATTTAGTTTTGCAGAGTGCGACTCATATACACGCACTCGCACACGGTCATTTCGTTGCGGTTGAACGAAATGAAATTAATTGATCAATGGTTGAAAAATGGTCTCATAAAACAAGAGATGGATTTTGATTGGATGCGACACGATTGCCGACAGCTGAATATACGAATTTCCGCACTTTGAATTTCTAATTATTATTTGGTTTTTCATTTACTTACCCATGGTAAACCAGCAACGAAATCAAAAAGAATATACAAGCTAAGATATCGGCACGGCCAACAATTCCAGTGACCTGCAAGACAAAAAAAAACCCAGAATACAAATTAGAAATTCATGATGAAAACCACATCGTTTGAAATGTACACCGTTTCTATTCAATGTTTAAGTACAACTTTGCATTTTGTTTCTCATTTTGAAAGAAACAACAACAACAAAAAAACAACGATAACACAAGAGCATTTAGAACAAGTGAAAAGCTTAATTTCACAAAAGAAAAAAAGCATATTTTGCCATTCACCAGCGTCCGAAACAATTGGCAATTCAAATTTCAGTTGTTTTTCGCTCAAACATTCTCGGTAAAACCAACGAAACGCTCTTTAGCACAAAATTCATTGGGCTACAAAATCTGTTAGAAATTCCGAGCCAGGGAGGGAGAGAGAGAGAGAGAGAGAGAGCGCGAGCGTTCGTGGAAAAATGTTGCAGCAACATTTCACTTGCCCATGATGATATGACAAAAATTCAATGAACTAATCGGATTTACTCGACTCTCTGAAGCGAAGATTAAATGCATAGCACCATAGTCAAGAAGCTATAAAGTTTCTCGCACTCCGGCAGAAACATACACACGATATAGCGTATACGGAAATTCCATGTTTTAAATGCCTCGAAGGTGAATGCAATCGAATGGGATGACGCCGTTCATTCAATGTTGTTGCTGTACATTGGCAGAGAAACCGCAACAAATTGAAGACAAATCATTTGTAACAACTAATCCGAAACTGGGGTTTCGCATGGCCAAACACAGGCACGCATACACACATACATATGAAATGTGCGATCGAAATGAAGCGCCATATGCCGATGGTATGGTGAATTGGAAGCGAGAGTGAGATATAGAGCTTTTCTCGTTCTGGTATGTCTTAATATTTGTGCAAAAGTTGACTTTAGTTTAAATACACTTGAAACAATACTTACCGCTTCACTGTGGATTGGATGCACAGCAAATATAATGCCCGCTATTATTGCAAAATTATCTTGAAGACCGGCCACAATGATACAAACCCGAGTAAATAGTATACAAACAATGGCGTGCATTAAAATATTTGTAAAATGAAACCAAATCGGTTTCAGTCCAAACAAATAGTAGTTTAATCTAGAAAATTTTGGTCAAACGAAAGAGAAGAAGAAGGAAAAAAAACAGTCAAAATATTTATTTATTCTTTTGTGTGTGCAAAGTGAGATAAAGAGAGAGAGAGAGAGAGAGAGAGAGTCTCTGTGTGTGTGTGTAGTGTCCTATCTTTATACATATATTGGAGATTGTGGATTCGATATTGAATTGAGTCGCTTGTTTGCATGTGTATAAAATATACAGCGAACGGCTTAAACTGACAAAACTACGGCACTCTATTCGAAATAGTGGTGCAGCAAATTCCTTCCCAACTTGTGAAAGTGAGTGTCTCTCACTTATTCACTGGTTTTGTGTGTTCACTCTGTGTGTCCGTTTCATTCGCAAGACGAACACTGGATTATTTGCTTGAATTGCTTGATGCGCGCTCTGCTGTGCACAACTCTATTTGCATTTTGGTCTGTATTTGCCAGTTAGCTTTTTGCTGCCCTCTGTTTTCTCTCATTGGATATTTCGATATTCACCCAAAGACTCACCCAGCAGCAAGCAGCAGCAGTGAGAAAAAAATATGCATAGACAAAAGCATGCCACGAACCGAAAAACGAACAGAAGCTGCTGCTGCTACTACATTGCCTCGTCGAAGCTGAAACACGAGCAAAATAAAGCGAATGAGACAAAAAGAAAAAAATTTGCTTCCCCATTCGAATCGATAATTTTCTCGTTGTTTGCAAAAAAAATGGGAGATAGCGACCGAAGCGAAATGGGAATGTGTAAAATTTCCAACGAATTTAATTAGAACAAAGCATTAAACAACACTAGCATAAAATTCAGCAATTGTGTGTGATAAAGTTCTTTTGGACAGTGGCAGCGAGCATAAGAGAGGGAGGAAGAGACTGAGCAGTGAGCACACATATCAAATGAGATCAGAGGAACGGCACAACGACAGCAAGATGGCAAGCCAACAATGGCAGTTGTAGTAGTAGCAGCAGCAGTGGCAGTGATGTGGAAGGCAATGTGCATTTGTGCACGTGTGTTTGTACGCATTTGCGGTTTATTTTCAACGCAAATGCATTAACTAGATTAGTTTACGTGGTCAACAGTACGACATCTTCTTAGATAAGTCTCTACATGGATTTTATAAATTAAATTACATAAATAATAACAGAACTGAAGAGTGAGAGAGAATGAGCGAATGCGGCAAGCGTCTTGTATGGCCTTCCGACCTGAGGCTAGTCAAATGTGTTTGCCCAAGAAATGCCTGGTAAATATTTAAACTCCCAACTACATACACACACATATATCCACAAAAAACAGCCAGAGCAACAGCCGAAACCGAAAAGCGAGAAACAAAACAACAACAACAAAAAACACCCGAAAAATAACAATCAGGAAAACATGATGAATTCAAATGAAGTGTGTTCGTGTATGTTTGCTCAAAAGTTGGCCAAAATTACCCGAAATGGATATGGCAAGGTAAATATGGAAGTTGAAACTTTTGATAACGACGAATTAAATGTGAAAGACGATACGTAAATATTGTTGGGTGAGAACAACAACTAAAAGGGATGAGGTGCGGGGTGTTTGTTTTATGGTGGGGGGAGGAGGGCGGTGAGGTGGCTGTCTACAGCGATTCATTGGTGATATTCAAACAATGCAGACTAATACATAATGTAGAAGAAGAATTGCATTCGAAACTGAAACGGATGGCGTATATGCTCCGAATAGAAATGGCCAAAAATTTGCGTTCCGTTTCATATGATATGCAAGTGATGTTTGTTTTTTGCATATGACTTTATTACTTATTCGTCGTTCGATTTGCTGGAAGTAGAAAGTTGGAAAATCCACTTTCCACGTCCGATTCGGCAAACACACACACACACACACCATACCACATCTCGAATGGAACGAGAACAAGAGACACATTCCCAAGATTTTTAGGATGTGTCTTTTTCTCCCGCTCATTCGTTTGTTCGTTCTTTCGATCGTTCGACCAAAAGCACACACAAATTTCTCTGCATCGAAAGTCTAATTCTTCGAATATAGGATGAAATAGATGAATATTCAAATCTTGGCAAATTTGCCGAAATGACTTCGGGTAGGGCGATTTCAATTGTAGATTGATAGATACACCTGACTCAGTCAGAGTTAGAATTGCCGTACGTGCCGAATGTTGAGCGTATCACAAACGAGAAATGCGCGCACGCGGCTCAAAACTGCTTGATTGGATTATTTAGTGCTATTATGAGTGTGTGTTTTGTAATGAAATTGAAAACAAAAACGCATTTGTTCCATTTGGGGTGGTAAATGAAAATGGCTTGAATCGAAATGGATTTCGACGGAGCAACAGTGGCACCGGCACCACCATATCGAATGAGATGTGCTGTGAGTGTGTGTCATATGAGAGAGTGCCAAGGTATAAAACGCATGAGTGGCAAACAGAGATTTTTCTCGCATTAGATGCACACAAATACTATTTCGAATTTGAATTATTGTTATTGTATAATCTAATGATGAGTAAATATTGTATGTGGTGTGTTATTGTTTATAATACACATTTTGCACTTGCTCTCGCACACACACACACACACACGCACACTGGATATCTAGAAAATGTGAAAATACATACACACACCCATATATATCGCTTACCTAAATGATAGAACCGTTAGCGGTCGATATGATTTGTGACTGTTTGCATCGTCCATTGGTGTGCCCCAGAAATCGTTAAAAAACGATCGCGTTATTTTATTGGTGCCAATAACATCCTTGTTCAGCGTAATGGCTGGTATATCGTCGTGTACAAAATCTCCATTAATACCGTTAAGATACACCATCACCGCAATCAAGCTGATCAGAGCATACGCATAAATGTGATTACTCTTTTCGCTGTTACCGCCAGCGCCGCCACCGCTACCGTTGTTGCCATGTTTGCTGCTGTTTGAATGCTGTTGCTGTTGCTGCTGCGGGTGATGATGGTTGGTATAAACGGTGCTATTTCCGGTGTGTCCATTCGCAGTACCGAACGGGCTACCGTTGACTGTTCCAGCATTTTGACAACAATGATGATTGTTGTTATTATTATTGTTGTTGTTGTTGTTGTTGTTGTTGTGATTACAGCTGATTTCACTTGTAACTCGGCTGCTAAAACAGGCTTCGCCCCATGATGATGTTGACGACGTCGACGACGATGAAGATGATGATGCCGATTTTGTTGGACTTCGTGATGGTGTACCGGCGCCGTTGAAGATTTTCACCGATTTAGGCGTACCACCACCGAAAGTGCCGCCGCCGCCAACGCCAATGCCGTTGTATCCGTTGTGTGCGCTGCTGGCGAGTATTTTTTGTGACGGCACTATAACTTTAGGACGAATTTTCATTGTAATCGCATTTATTGATTGCTTTTAACATTATAATATGTTTGGTTCAAGTCTATTATTTCTTCTCGTCTCCGCTGCACTCCTTATTCAATTATTCAGCATGTATAATCCGAATCGGAGAAGAAGTTTTAAAAAAAACCCAACCAATATCGAACTTGAGGCCCGAAATGTTCGGATATTTTATACAAGTTTGATTTGTTGCCTAGTGCACGCCTGTGAGCCTGAGAGTGAAGAGTAAGCGTGTATAATTTAAAGCATGCGATCGATAAATTTATATCACTTCTTGTACAACAAGAGAGAGAGAGAGACCACACCGAATTTATAATATCAATTATTGATGGGTGTTCATTATTTTTTCATGTGCATTTTCGGTGGCCCTCACAGTGGGGTTTGAGTGGTATAATCACACGTATTTGGTAATCCAAAGTGCACAATTGACGTTTATGTACTGGCTTCGTTCCCGTCCAAATGATTTATTTACAACGCTGTACGGTTCTCACCACGTCCTCTCGTGTCCGATGCGTCCGAAATCAAACTTCAATGTTTGATTTTACTTTATAATCAAATTGTATGGCGGCGGCCACATGCATGAATTGTATTCAATTTGCCTCCAATTTGATGGACCAGTAATTTCATCTTCTCAATAACGTGTGCATATGTTTACGTGTGTCTGGAAATAGACAAAACCGAATAAAAATGAGAATGACATATATTGATATGGAATTATGAATGTTTACTTATGGGCTTTAGTCAAAATACTATTTTTGGGGATATGAACGGAGAATATCCAGAGCGATGCATTTTTCAATTAAAAACTTCTCCATCTCGGACTAGAGCATATATCTATTTAATTATTATTGACTGTTCCAGCCAACTGTAAACTAAAAATGTATGAGCAGGCAGGGGGCGACGCAAACAGTTTGATAGCCAACTCAAAATTGTTCACCATACGCAAATAAAGCGAAATGAAAATTGGCATGACGAGAGAGATAAATTTAATGTTTTTATACGAATATATTTTTTTTCCACAGCAAATTATTAATTCATAATTAATTCCGTTCTCTTGTGTGTGTTTTTTATTTTCAATTTTTAAAAGCTTACCCAAACAAGTGAAATATACATACATCACAAACATATATATTTAATTTTATATTATATATGAAAGTGTATGCACACAATTTATTTTTAAATAGAGCCATTTCACTGAATAATGTAGCTCTCACTCTTGACTGTGTGTGTATGTGTACATGTTTATTTTTTTTTAAGTGGCGTGCGCTGTTTATGAAACGTGGCTGCAAATAAATGCCGAAGCTTAAGCGAATTTCAACGTACATCATTTTATTAATAAATGACTTACTTTGAATAGACAGTGAGTGTGAAAGAGGAAAGAGGACGAGAGAAAGAGAAAGTAGCCGGAATTTACGGATAGCTTTATGTTTCGCCGAACAAAAAAAAAATCACAACTGAACACACAGCTATCCCGCTGTCAACATCATGATTTTGATGCAACGGTGCTAGTTTCATGCAACCGGGATTGTTTGTTACACTATTTCACTCTCTGACTAGACATTAAATGGATGAAACGATGCGCATATAATTCGTGTACAATTTCAGAGCCGTTTGGACAGATTAGTTGTTTCTTTCTTTTGATTAATGATTGCAAACAAAGACTTTTAGTGGTGCCCATTTCGATGCGATTGTTTTCTTTGTCTGGAAAATGCGCGCGAGCTGTATTTCGTATTTGTTTGAGAGAATCAGGGAGAAATGGAAGAGTGAGAGATTGAAAGAGTGCATGCGATTGAATATGAGATGTAGCGAGAAAGAGAAATAGAGAGAATTTACGCGCGAAAGTCAGTAGCAGTGTGAAGATAAAACGAAAATTATACTGAAATTGGGCTGTAGTATCAAAATGATGGAAACAGTTCAAAAAAGCGTTGTGCGTTTCAGTTGTTTCTTTTGTTACTGAATTATAAATCGTGGTCGGCCTAAATGGTCGCGAGAGCAGCTTATAGAATGCAAAGTATGGCATTGCTTCTACCTCCTGATGTGAGAGATCGAGCAAGAGAATTGAGAACGAATGTCCTATTATCACAACAAAAACGAAATGCCAGTATTGCTGCCGTCTACGACAAACACCACCGCTTCTGCCAACAATTACAGCTAAACGACAGTGATGACGACGACGAAGACGACGGCGGCCGTGGTGACGATGGCGACGACGACGACGAAATACATCCGCTTTGATCTGAATGGCTAATGGAACAAAACGAAAAATAATATCACATCTCAATGCAATGCACACGGAAGACAATCAAATAGCCGAAAAGAAGTTAAAAAATAGATGAGCAAAATGTTCGAGGGAATAGAGATGGTGCGAGAATGGGTGGCCGCGCACGAAACGGAAATGCAAATAAAAATGGCTTGTGTGCGGCATGTGCAGTGGCTGTTGTACACATAGAGAACCGGGGGTAGAGAGAAAGAGAGTGAGAGAGAGAGAGAGAGAGCAAGTGAGAAATACAAATACAACTGGTCCTAAATAATTCAGTATCCCATTATGCAAATGAGTTATTTTATAGTGGAGACGCGTTATGCTGCTGATACGAGCTAACATACCGAGCACACGATGTGTTTTGAGTTAGCGAAAATGCGCTCACGCTCACTCTCTATCGCTCACATACACACAAACGGAATACGGAAAATTTGTGACCAAAACCATCGAGCAATGGCAATCGCAATGCCAAGACAAGCCAAACGAAATAATACCGAGTGAAGAAAAAAAAAGAATAAAATAGAAGAAACGAAACGAAATGAAAGAAAGAAATAAGCACGCAGCGTACAGCGAGGCAAAATAAGAATGGCATAGTAGGGGAGGAAAAAGAGCATAAAAGGAATGAGCAGCGAAAAAGGATTATGCTTCGTTTGCACATATAACTGACACACAAATGACGCTTTATTTAACTAAATACATGTGTATGCATAATGCATAATAAGCAAGGCAAATGTTGTAACTGATGACAATAACAACAGCAGCAGCAGCAGCAACGCCAACAAAACCCCCATTGCCCATGTTGTATATACGTATCTATCTGGAATTTTTACGCATCCAAGGACTGATCTGACAAATCGTAGCCCACTGCCAGAAAAATCATGTTTTTTCCGTCTCACCACTGGCTCTTTTCTTCGATGACACCGCTCCTTTTTCCCTCTTACACACGCAATTTTTCTTCTACAATAAACAGACAAACACTCGCTTCACTCTCTCTCTCAATCGCACTGGCTCCCAATGGCTCGCACACAAACGTCTCAAAACTCCTAGTCAAACACTTGAGCAATCGAGAGTTTCATGTGATGAGCTAAAAATCGCCTGCACTTCTTCTTTTTTTCTTACATTCTTCTTTTCACTTTGTCGCCCTTCCGATTCAATTCGCGTATTCGCACAGATACAAATGTTGTTTTCTTCACTCTCACTCTCTCTCTCTCTGCCTCTTTTTTGTGTGTGAATAAATTGCCGAGGATTTTCCGCGTTTCTCTCAATCTCTCGCTCTCTTTGATTCTCATTTGGCACATCTTCGACTCGACAAGCCACTTGCCCCTTGTCGAATGTTGTATGTCCTTTTAATAATGCATTTATTGCGTTTTTCCTCATTGCGCGCTACATCGTCAAAGCTTTTTTTTGTATTTTCTCCTCTACATGCAGCTTCCTTACAACGATACCATTTCGACAATGGAAAAAACACATGAACTAATAAACCCCGGAAGAGTACAAGCGAGGAAAAAAACACACATACGCACACGCACACAATGGGAATCACATGGTGATTTGGAACGAGGTGTACAACGAACACCTTCATCAACTATGAAACGTGGCACACACGGTGGCACCGGTGATTTCATTTAAACAGACAAATTTTCAATTGTCACCTAAAACACGCTAAACGATTTTCTATTTGCGATCTCTCTCTCTCTCTCTCTCTCTCTCTCTCTCTCAGCCAGGACCGGTAGATAGTAGTTGCGGTTGTTGTTGTTTTTCACGGGATTGTTTCTTTGAATTTGTCTGTGTTTTTGTCTTTGGCTTAAAAATCTGTTGCTGGATTTTATTCGAAAGCTCATAAATGTATTGCGGCCGATTGAACAGACAAGCGAGTGAAAAAAGGTGTTTCAACGAAAATTGAAAATTATCAAGGAAATTGGTGACTACTATCAAACCACACAGCAGACACACGCACACACATACAAACGCACACATTTTTTCCCATTTACTTGATAATACAAATGAGAGACAGAGAACAAGAGAAGGAGAAGCATAAAATCAACAATAACCATTCATTCGAAATCAATGGGCAAGAAAACAATGGGGCAACCGAACGACAAACGAATATTGTAGTGAAACAAAAGAGAACTACGATGACGGAGACGACGTGCTTTTGCCGTTACACTCTCGCCTCGCTCGCTCGCCAAGGTACACAGAATTATACCAAACAGGCACGCAATTCAATGGCTGGGCTAAATTATTTTCGAATGGAAATCGAAACCCATAAAGCAATCACACACTCTGTCGTTGTTGTCGTCGTCGTCGTCGTCGTCGTCGTCGTTGCCGTTGTTTTTCTCCTTTATACAGGAAAAAAATAAATTTCTTCCTGTTTAGTTTTCATTCTGTTCTGGTGCTTTTTTCTGTCCGAAAGCAAAAAAGAGAGGGAGAACGTGTGTGTACACTTACCCTTTATCACCGCCGAATTGTTTCAACCAATGGAATGTTTCACACACACGCAAAATCCAATTGAAAATGCTGTTATTTGTGCTGTCAAATCGACATTTTTCTGCGGCTTCGATTTTGCTTTGACTTGATGTGGTGGTGTCTGGTTGTTTTTTGTGTGTCAGATTCGTTTAAACAGAAGAAAAAAAAACAGTTTTCCGATTTTTCTATGAATATTTTTCCGCTCACTGGTGGTGAGTTTTTTTTCCCTCCGCAAATGTATATTCAATCAATCGTTTAGTGCATACACCAATCAAAAAGCACACTCGGAATTGTGTAACCGAGACGATGGAAATCAAATCAACAATTCAGTCTATAATTTATTTTTGACGGGCGATTTTTTTATCGCTGACAACTTTTTTTTCCATAGCACACCGCTTTTTTGCACCCTCCAAAAATGAAATTTACACTCAAAAATTAGAATTGAACAGAAAAAGAGAAAATGATTTTTTTTCTGCTCTGTAAAGAGTCAAAATTCACCACAATTATCGAACGGGAGAGAAATGATGGGAAAAAAAATTTGTGTTCTTTCTCACTAACTTTCAAAAGTTGTGTTTCACTTCCTTATTCCGACTTAAGGACTATACCTACAAAAAAATATAACACACGAATCAAATGAAGCATATCGTAACACTTCTTTGTTCCGTTCAGTGTGAATGTGTCTGTTTTTCTGAATCAGATTCTGATTCTTGTTGTTATTTTTATTGTTTTTTTTTCCTCTCTTCGGCGGGTTACTCCACGCATATGCGCATGTGTATGTGTGTTTGCTACGAAGCACACAGGAGCCGAGAACGGTGCTAGTCAGCGTGTTGGTTGATGTCGTTAATGTTAGTATATATGTGTGTTTGAAGCGGGTGTTCGTATCGGTTTGTGTATGGGTGCAAATTGAGTGGTCGAGTGAGCGAGTGAGCGAGCGA